GACACGCACACACAGACACGCACACACACGCACACACACACACAGACACGCACACACACGCACACACAGACACACACAGACGCACACACACAGACACACACACAGGAAGTGGAAATGAGCAGTTGAAATGTTTTACAGGCAAATTATTCAGGACAATGACTGTGTGTGTGCGTGTGTGTGTGCGTGTGTGTGTGTGTGTGCGTGTGTCGGTGCAGATGGCGTACTGTCAGCACATCGGGGTGGAGTTCATGTTCATCAACGACCTGGATCAGTGTCAGTGGATCAGGCAGAAGTTTGAGACTCCGGGCGTGATGCAGTTCACTCTGGAGGAGAAGCGGACGCTGCTGGCCCGCATGGTCCGCTCCACCAGGTCAGAACCCCCACACACTCAGGTCCCTCACGCAGATTCATCCACACACTGATTTTATAAGCTGGAGCAGGAGGGCGGAGCCACAGAAGACCCAAAGATGAACCCTGAGGTACGTCAGCATCGTAAACCACCACGAGCAGTTTCTGACAGCTTGTGGTGGTTTTACCCGCAGCGAAACTCAAGCCCGCCACTTCAGTCACCTCAGCTTTCTGAGAAACAGAAGCTCAGTGCTCTGGTGTTTCAGTCATAACCAGTTTGATCCTCACGCTGGTCCCATCGATGGGATGTCTGCTGTGAAATCTCCCACTGCAACACGGAGTCGTTGGGAAACACGGTGCGGCTGCAATAAGCGAATCTGCAGTCTGCGTTGGGAATAACCGGCGTGTTTGCTTGTGTTCAGGTTTGAGGAGTTCCTGCAGAAGAAGTGGTCTGCAGAGAAGCGCTTTGGCCTGGAGGGCTGCGAGTCTCTGATCCCCGCCCTGAAGACCATCATCGACAAGTCGTCTGAGAACGGCGTGGAGAACGTCATCATGGGAATGCCCCACAGGTAAAACCACACGCTGCTGTTCTCTGTTACTTGACCGCACGCACGCCGCTCCACATTCGATGACACCTGCGTGATGTCATCAGAAAGGAGGCAGCAGCTTCCAGGAGAAATCTGCATCCAATCAGCGAGTTTGATGGCGTCAGCGCTCCTCAAGGTTACAAAAGCAGCAGCCCGACAGTGACGCACTGAAGACAGGAGTCGGAGCACAAACATGTTGAAATGTTTGCTTTTAATTTTAATGTATTTCTGCTTCAGTCAAAGACGACAGAGTAAATAAATACAGGCTCAGCTCACACCTGTGTGAAGACGAACGCCACGAGCGCGCCGTGATGGCCTCTGTGTCTTTCAGGGGTCGTCTCAACGTCCTGGCCAACGTGATCCGGAAAGAGCTGGAGCAGATCTTCTGTCAGTTCGACTCCAAACTGGAAGCAGCTGATGAGGTCGCTGTTTTTACTGCTGTTTGTTCGTTTACTCTCGATTTTCTTTCCCCGTCTGATCCAACCTGTCGTGGTTGTTCTCAGGGCTCCGGCGACGTGAAGTACCACCTGGGGATGTACCATCGCCGCATCAACCGCGTGACGGACAGGAACATCACGCTGTCTCTGGTAGCGAACCCGTCTCACCTGGAGGCCGTGGACCCCGTGGTTCAGGGAAAGACCAAAGCTGACCAGTTCTACTGCGGGGACACAGACGGGAAAAGAGTAAGTCTGGCGGAAGTACTCGGATACTTTATAGTAGAGATACTGCACTGTGAAGATACTGTTACAGGTCCAGGTAGTTTTTCTAGCTCAGAGCAGACTCGACCTTCAGGTAAACAGCGCAGGCTCGTTTTTTTTCCTGGAAACTGTTGGAGGTGTTTCTGTGCAGGACGAGCTTTCGACCAATCACAGACTGACAAAGTGTCATTAAGTTCATGTGTTCTCTGCGCAGGTGATGTCCATCCTGCTGCACGGAGACGCCGCGTTCGCCGGTCAGGGCATCGTCTATGAGACCTTCCACCTGTCCGACCTGCCGTCCTACACCACGCACGGCACCGTGCACGTCGTGGTCAACAACCAGGTAACGCCACAAAGAAACAGACCGTGAGCCGCTAACGCAGCCCGCCGTGCAAACACCTCTCTGTCGTCGTGTCTGCAGATCGGCTTCACCACCGACCCTCGCATGGCCCGCTCCTCGCCGTACCCCACAGACGTGGCTCGTGTCGTCAACGCTCCCATCTTCCACGTGAACGCCGACGACCCCGAAGCCGTCATCTACGTCTGCAAGGTGGCGGCTGAGTGGAGAGCCACCTTCCACAAAGATGTCGTGGTCGACCTGGTCAGTAAAGACGCAGACAAACACTCTCTGACATGAAGCTTTCAAAGCTGATCGCCGACATCTGGAGTTTGCTCCCACCTGTTCACACAGCTGGAAACAGTCTTTACAGTGTGTGTGTGTGTGTGTGTGTGCAGGTGTGTTACCGTCGGATGGGTCATAACGAGATGGACGAGCCGATGTTCACTCAGCCGCTGATGTACAAACAGATCAAGAAGCAGAAGCCGGTCCTGCAGAAATACGCCGAGAAGCTGATCGCAGAGGGAGCCGTGAGCCGGCAGGAGTATGAGGTAGGACTCGCCCACCAGGCGAATCCTGCTTACAGGTCACCGTGATGTCACTTCCTGAACGTTTGTCTGTTTGCAGGAGGAGATCGCCAAGTACGATAAGATCTGTGAGGAGGCGTACGCTCGCTCCAAGGACGAGAAGATCCTGCACATCAAGCACTGGCTGGACTCCCCGTGGCCCGGTGAGAGGGCGAGGAGGCGGGGTCGAGTCACTGTCAGCTTCCTGATCGCACAGATTCAACTCTCAGGACGTTGTTTTCACTCTGGCGTTCAGCTCCAGACTGTTAACCCTTTAAACTCGCTGTTTTCAGGTTTTTTCACCCTGGACGGTCAACCAAAGTCGATGAGCTGCCCCTCCACCGGCCTGACCGAAGACAACCTGAACCACATCGGACAGGCGGCCTCGTCCGTCCCCGTGGAGGACTTCACCATCCACGGAGGTCGAGAACGGCACCGCTTTCTGACCCGGCAAACGGGAACGAAGACGTTCAGCTGACGCTGTCGTTTCTCGCCGTAGGTCTGAGCCGAATCCTGAAGGGCCGCGCCGAGATGGTGAAGAACCGGATGGTGGACTGGGCCCTGGGCGAGTACATGGCCTTCGGATCGCTGCTGAAAGAGGGGATCCACATCAGGCTGTCGGGGCAGGACGTGGAGCGCGGGACCTTCAGGTAAACCTGTAGGCGTGTCTGGCAGCGGCATGTGACACACAAAGCAGAGAGAGCTAAAGAAGCGAAAAACCACGACACAAAATAAACTGATGGCGTGACGTCAGGAGGAGACGAGCAGATCGGAAAACGCCCCCGATCGTCTCGGTCTGCTCGTCTTGACGCCGTTAGCAAGTTAGCACAGAGCGCGGGTGGTTGACGGGTGTCCTCTGTGTGTCCCCTCACAGCCACCGTCACCACGTCCTCCACGACCAGAACGTGGACAAGAGGACCTGCATCCCCATGAACCACCTGTCCCCGGACCAGGCGCCGTACACCGTCTGCAACAGCTCGCTGTCCGAGTACGGCGTGCTCGGTCAGTCCTCGCTCTCCACAGATGATGCGTCATTGATGGCGTCTGTGTTTTTGCCTGATGGTTGTTTCTCCTTCTGCAGGCTTCGAGCTGGGATTCGCCATGGCGAGCCCGAACGCTCTGATCCTGTGGGAGGCTCAGTTTGGAGACTTCCAGAACACGGCGCAGTGCATCATCGACCAGTTCATCTGCGCCGGGCAGGCCAAGTGGGTGAGGCAGAACGGCATCGTGCTGCTGCTGCCGCACGGCATGGAGGGCATGGTGAGGACGCCGCCGCACCTTCCTCCTCCTCCTCCTCACTGACTGAAAACCAAAGACAACAGAGTGTCGATAAGTCTGAGCTGATCAGTGTTCCTGATCTGTGATCGTTTATTTCTGATAATCTGAATGTTCTCCTCAGGGTCCCGAACACTCGTCAGCTCGTCCCGAGAGATTCCTCCAGATGTGCAACGATGACCCCGACGTCCTGCCGGTGAGACACACACACAGAGCAGTGATGTCAGAGCGGTGTGTGTGTGTGTGTGTGTGTTTTGATGCTGGTTTCTGTCCCTCAGAACATCACCGAGGACCTCGCCGTGCGTCAGCTCTACGACTGTAACTGGATCGTGGTGAACTGCTCAACGCCTGCAAACTACTTCCACGTTCTCCGACGGCAGATCCTGTTGCCCTTCAGGAAGCCCGTGAGCCACACACACACACACACACACACACACACACACACACACACACACACACACACTGTGATGGACCGAGCAGTGAAGGAAACTTAGGCACAGGTTAAAGTCCAAAAAAAAGATTTATAATTTAACCCAAAAAACATAATTAGTTAACTCATGCAAAAAGAATCAAAATCTTGGGCCCATAAAAGAGGTCAAACTAACAGAACTCTACTCAAAGTTGACAACACAACTGATAACTCAACCAAACTGACCTCACTTAACGAGACAAAGGGGAAACTTAAATAGAGGCTGATCAGCCCACAGAAAACCAGGAGAAGGGCTAAAACACACAAAACCTAACTAAACATAATGAACTCCAATTCCCCCCCATGGTCCCACGTTATGGCATGAACCAATTTGCAGTCTTCCTTTAAAGCTTGCTCCGCCCCTTTTCCACCTCTTGGCTCCTTAATCAAGGGACTGGAACAGCTGCAACTACGGTAACGCAGAAAAGATTAATCATACATAACAGTGTAAACTAAAATGTGCGCACTTATTTTAGAATGCAGCGTTATGTGGATACGTGAATTAACTCCAAACCAAAACCAGTTATTTATTGTCCTGTAAATTAATTCCTATATTTAAAGAAAGACATGTGAATGCAATGTTA